GAGATTAAGAGCAATAAGCCTTGGCGCTAAGCAGTCTAGGTTTCAGTGATAGCCTTGCTACTTTCTAACTATGTGGTCTTGGGCAAGGGACTTCATCTCTCTGAACTTCAGTATCCTCACTTGGAAAATGGGGGTAATGGCAGTGCCTATTTCCTGGGTTACAAGGATTCAGTAAGATAATCCATGTCAGTTCATATGCAGCTTGGCTCTGCATAAAGGGAGCCATTGTTACCACTACCTTATTGTTCAGATGAGTAAACTAAAGATGAAAAACTAACCTCTGAGGTGCTTAGTAGCTTTCTCCAAAGTCTCATAACCATAAAATGACTACACGGGGGACTCAGACTTCTTGATGGACACTTGGGGTATGATTCCTGATGGACTAGTGAGGGTGACTGGCTGAGGTTAGGGAGGAACATTTAGTCTTCACTTGGTGACAAACTGCTTTGTGTCCTGATTTCAGGAGGATGCCAAAATAGGCTGGAGGGTTTTTTTCTTTATCACTTTTGTTTTTCTTTTTTTTTTCTTTAGGCAGAGTCAATGAATGATGAAACAAATTTAAGAAAAGTAATAAGTAGCCCAAAATATCTCTTTGGCCAGCAATATCAATCTCACTCCTATGTTTTTTTCAGTCTGATTTTACTGTCTGATATGCTTTTTGTATTTGTTTTGAGACAGGGTCTTGCTCTATAGTTCAGGCTGACCTTGAACTCACTACGTACCCTAGGCTGGCCTCACACTCATGGCGATCCTCCTGCCTCAGCCTTTAGAGTGCTGGGATTATAGGCATGCACCTCAACATCCAGCAGTATTGCTTTCCAAATCCACTATTTTCTCTCAATTTTCCTTTTTTTCTTTTAAAGAAAACAATTTATTATTCAACAAATAAAATTAGTCAAGTCTACTTTCCTACATAATTTGTGAGTTTTTAACATCAAATAAAATATTTATTTTTCATCATTTGCTTCTGTTCATTTTCTTGACCAGTTCTTCATTTCTCCTTCTAAAACACTGCATGCCACATAAGAGGCAATGAAGTGTTTTAAACACCACAGCCAATGGACCTGAGCATTCATCTGCAGCTACCTACATGCTTGTTACGTGCAACTGTGGTTATAGCAATTTTCGTCAGGCATCTTCTATGATAAGGTTTTGAAAAAAATTTGTTTGACAACCTTTGTACATCTTCAAAACACATAAACTTTGTTGTACTTCAAAGAGTCCAGCAGTGGCCCACAGGCTCTGCTGCCACTCTGTCCACATTCTCAGTTTTCTTACTCATCCCTTTCCCTGAAGCTCTGCAATTACCTCCAACTTCTTTTTGTGTCTCCCACAGCAATTCATTCTCCTGTTCTCTCGCCTTTCTCCAGCCGTACCTTCACTCTTGTGCTACACACACCTGCAGCTTCCTAGAGGCTGGTTCCACTCATGGGTTTACCTGGGTGCTGGCTAGGTGGTTGCTGGGTATTGGGACACAAGACCTTTATGTGCCTCACACCTCCCAACCCTGAAGTGAGGATATTGGAGTAAGTGGCCCACAACAAGGCCTTCCAGAAGTGACCCTTTCTGAACCTAATAAAGGCCTGGCAGGTACATACCATTAATGAGCAGCAGGTGGCAGAGTCACCTCTCCTTTGTCATCTACCATGAGGAGCTGCTAGGGCTCTTCCTCACATGAAGACTAACACTGAAGATAGGACTGGTTTTGTTGTTGTTGTTTTGTTTGTTTGTTGCCCTCTCCCAGGACTGGGGATTGAACCTAGGCCTTTTGCTCTGAGCTACATCCCCAGGCCATTTTAAATTTTAAGACTGGATCTTGCTACTCACTTAGTTGCCTAGACTAGGCTTGAACTTGATCTACTCAGCCTTCTTGTGTAGCTTGGATTATAAGCATGTACCATCACACCCAGCCATTTCAGGCTTTTTCAAAAAGCAAACCTGTGGCTAAGGCTGGGACTCAGTGGTAGAGCAATTTCCTAGCATGTACAATCCCCAGTGCTGTATAAAACAAACAAACAAACAACTTAAATATCTGACTGCCATCCTCTGTCAAGTTGTGTCTTTATCACGTGCGAAAGTCCTCATCACACCCTCCGTTCTCCCCAACACTTAGCCCAAGTTCCTTTGCTATTAATCTAGGAATTTGTGATATTATTTTTCTTAAATCTTTTTGTTACAAGTGAAATATTTCTTCAACAAAAAAGTAAGACCTAGATGGAGGAGACCATTAAGTATCATTTCTTTGTGAAAAAGAAGTGAGCACAGTGTATCTTTGTTCCAAGAACAACACAACATACCATTATGGAAGTAAAGCACAATAAGAACCATGAAAATAAAGAAAAGATATATGATGAAAAAAACAACAAAATGTAGAAAAAGGCCCAAAATTTCAACAGAACTTGTGTTCCACGAATTGCAAATAAATGTTACTACTATACATTGTAATCAAAAGGGAATAAATTATAATTGAATAAAATATAACTGATATAAGTGTGGTGGCACATGCCTGTAATCCTAGCACATGGGAGCCTGAGCCAGGAAGATTGTGAGTTCAAGGCCAGTCTGGACTACATAATGATACTCCTGTCTAAAAACCAAACAAACAGACAAATAACCCAGAAGTCAACTCTCTCTGACTTGAATACAAAATATACTTATGAAGATGAATTTTCAGTAGCTTATGGAGTCTGCAGAAAACCTGGAGATTTAGACTCAAAAACTGGGCAAAAATGAAAACATGTTTACACAGAAATTTGTAGATGCATGTTCATAGTAGCATTATTCATAATAGGCAAAATGTAGAAATGATCCAAATGTCTACAGAGGTATGGATAAACAAAATGTGGTACACAATGAAGTGCTATAGAACTATAAAAAGGAATGAAGTACTGATATATGCTACAGCACAGATGGACCTTGCAAACCTGCTGAATGAAATACACCAGTCACAGTGTTCACACACCATATGATCCCATTCATATGAAAAACCAGAGGAGAGAAATCTACAGGCAGAAAGTAGATTAGTGATTTTGCAAGGAGAGGAGGGGTGGGAGGAGGTGTCAAGAATGCTAGCTAAAGGGTATCAGTGGGGTTTCTTTTTGAGATCTCAAATTGACTGTGGTGATAGTTTCTACAAAAATCAAAGCCACTGAATTGTATACTTTCAATAGGCAAATTATGTGATATGTGAATTATGTTTTAATAAAGTTTTTTTAAATGGCAGAAACAAGAGGAACTAAGGTGGATATAATGTTAGCCCGAATCATATAGAACCAATTCAGTAAGTACACCAGGGCCACTTCTATCCTGCCTAGCACACTATACTCAGAGGCCATTATTTGCTCTGCTGGCATTGCTGTCCCCAATTGTAGATGTCACTGCCACTTCCTCCACCGCTGCCAAAATTAACTCCACTCTTTATTTATTTAATTATTATTTTATTTTGCAGTGCTGAGAATTGAATCCACAGCCTCACACATACTAGGCAAACACTCTCGCTGGACCACCACCTAATCCTCTCTTCTTTTTTGCCGTAGAAGTTTCTTCTTTCTTTCTCCTTTTCTTTTTAAGACAGGGTCTCACTAAGTTACCCAGGTGGGACTTGAACTTGCAATCCTCCTGCCTCAGCCTTCTTCAGTGCTGAAATTACAGGCTTGCACTAGTAGGCCTGGTTGAGCACATATTTCTTAATCAAAGTTCTGAATATACTTGAGAATGTACTTGATTGATTGAACCTAGATCATACACGCATACTCTAGCTAAGGGAGGCTGAGAGAGCAAATATCTAGCCCTTTTCAACTCTATAATGGAAGACAAGATCCATCTCTTTCCAAGACTCATATGATGGAGAATTCTCAAATATAAGAAAATGTTTTGAGTTTTAGGTCCCAACCAAAACAAGCAAACTAAACACAACAACAAACAAAACGTTAAAAATCTGATTGATAGATAGATGTTAAAATGTAAATATTTCAGATTAACTTGTCCCTCAAAATACCTACAAACTCTTGCAAGGCCCAATGTAAGACTCCATGGAACTAGAAACAAAATATAGATTCTGTCCTCAAGGAGTTCAATGTTGAGCAGGGGGAGAAATCGAGGGTTGTGAGCCCCTTTCTAAAAGCACAAAAAGGCCTCTGACCAATTCCTGTTGGAGGACAGGGCTAGAAATTCTTTAGAGAGAAGGTAACTTTAAGAAGCGTCTGAAAATGAGGGTTGGTGCCTTACTAAGCAAAAGGAAGGAAATAAGGGTGTGAACCAGCAAAGTATATTGGAGGAAACTGTGGACAACATGTAAATTTGGTGTGTAACACAAGCCACAGCAAGAGAAGGTCTGGAGAGGTCATCAGGGGCTGAATCAAGAAAAGCCTTGGAACTCAGACCAAACAGTTTAGACTTTCCTGTCCCTCCTTTTTCTTCCTTCCTTCTTTCCTTCCTTCCTCTTACCCTTCCTCCTTCCTTCCTTTTTTCCTTTCTTACTTCTTTTCTTCTTTTAATTAATTGTATCCTTTAAGCTTCAAAAGGTATACTCAACCATATGAGTGGTAGGGGGTATTTTCCAATGGTTCTCATGTAAATTCAAATTTTGTGTTTTATGGAATAAAACAGGCTTTTTCCTCCTTTTTTTTGAGATAGGATTTCAGTATGTAATTCATGCTGGCCTTGAACTCATTATGCAGCCCAGGCTGGCCTTGAACTTGCAGTGACCCTTCTGCCTCAGCCTCCCAAGTACTGAGTTTACAGGCACGCGCCACCACACCTGGCTCTCAAGCTTTTTCCCTTTTTGAAAGTTATTCTCAAGTTGTAAAATTTCTTTCCATGTTTTCCTCCTGTATTCCTGAGTTCAGTTTTGGCTGCACCAGTAATACAGAAAGTGAGAACACTTTTCACTCATATCTGTAATGGCAACCTTATCCTCTTTTCAAAAGAGTTATTGAAAGGTATCCTGTTTCCCAAATATAATTTTGATGCCGCATAGAGGATGGACTGGAAGAGAGAGTGAGTAAATAGGTTGTTTAATGGGCTGCTGTCACAGTCCAGGCTTTAAATTACAGAAGAGGGCTTGAACAAAGGTGAAGGCAGTAGTGATGAAAAGGGACAGAAATAAGTATGACAGATAATGAGGCATAAGACTTTAGGGCACCTTCTCTAGTTATAATTGAGAGCAGGATGACATGGTATCAACTCGTCCACCCATCTGTCTCATGTGTCCACTCACTTACCTATGTCCCTGCTACTTACTGATATAGAAATAGTTCCCACTTGGGAAGAGCTCTACCTAGAGAGGCACAGAGGCATCTAAACAGACCGTTCTGGAGAATGTGATGGTTGTAGGAAATTGCTGGTGGAAGCATCATCATTCAGGATTCAAGGAATACTTCACAGTAATGATATCTGAGGCTTGAGATCCAGAGAAGTTGGTCAAAGGAGAATACTGGAAGGACGGGACTGCAGCAGAGAGAAGAACATGTTGTGAGGACATCAAAATGTTCCTTGTAGATCTCCAACTAGTGGAGCAGAGCAGCCCGCCGGCCCCAGGTGCTGCCTGTTTTGTGCTGAGCTGCACTCCCACGGTCTGCTCCCTGCCAAGAAATAAGCAGCAGGGGTTTAACAGTAGGTACATGTCTGAGTGTCTTAGTCACTTTCTCATTGCTGAGACACAATACTTGACACCTGCAACTTAAAGAAGGCGAGGTACACTTTGGTTAACTTTTAGTCCATAGTTGGCTGGCTCCAAAGCAGACAGCATGGTGGAGGGTTATGGTGGACAGGAAGAACAGAGAGCAAGGGAGGAGCCTGAGAGGGACATAAACTCCTCCAGGCCACGCCCCCCAGTGACCCACCTCTTCTGACCAGACCTCACCTCCCAGTAGCAAGTCAGCTATAAGCCCTACAATCCAATCTCCTTCCAAAACCAAGGCTCTTAGGGGACATCCCTATGACAAAGTAAGGCTCTTAGGGGACATCCAGATATACAGTAAACCATAATACTGGGAGACACAGGACTTCTTTAACAGCCAACTTTGGCTTCATGACCATCCAATCTCCCTTATACTGCATGGCAGTCTGAGATACTTCCACCTAACCTTCCTTTTCTGTTTGCTTTTCTTAGGGTCAGACTTGCAGGACAGACTGTGCATCAGCCAAACTACCCCTTCCATTTTTTTCCACCACATATGATTCCACTAGTAAAATCCTTGCATGCTTAATCCAATTTCAGCTCTACTTCTTGGAAGACTTGGACTAAGATATCTGTGTGAATATAAGTTCTGAAGATTTTTACTTTATCCTGGACAAATTCACAATGCATGAATAGGTTTAAAAAAGCATACAGATACAAAATAAATTTTTTGGAAGTGGGTGGATGACATAGAGATGTGGAGAAAATGGAGGAGAGGTGGGGGTAGCAAATTGCTATGAATGTTCTGGGCTGATGAACTTGGGGACCTCTTTCCATGTTTGGAGAGTTTCTCATCATGTGAGACAGAGCCAGTTTCCTTTTACAGGAAGAGAAAATGCCAGATTCATTTTTCCAGCATCCTCTGCAACTAAAGTGTTAGGAGCAGCTGGAAAGTAATTACACATGCAAGACAAAGCCAGCCCGAGAACACAGGAGCTCCGAGAACACGGGAGCTCCGAGAACACGGGAGCTCCGAGAACACAGGCGCTCCTCAAAGCACATAAACAAACCGTTGTAGCTTATTGACTGATTTCTGGGCAGTGAGGTGGAAATTAACCAACCTCTCCAGGGTATAAATAAATGCTCGACTGGTCTTGGGCAGTTCTCTACTCCACCTGGTCCTAGCTTTTTGTCTCGTCTATTTTTTCCTCCTTCTCTCCGTTCCTTCCCAGGGTACAGCAAGAACTCAACAGATCCATACACTAAAGCAAGTCATGGTCCAGCCTACAGTGACCTAAACTCTGCAAGTCACAGACCTCTGCCTTCCATAGACTCAGAACTGAAAGTATTGAGGCAAAGCAGCTGGGCAAACAATGCATGAGCCTTAGTTGGCAGCAGAGGCAACAGTTGCAGTAGCAGAGTCCAAGGTCTGGATTTTTTTTTTAAATCTTTTTTTCTTTTTGTTGTTTTCTATTTTGGCATTGTCTTATTGATGGTGCATGTGGTGGCTGCCCTCCCCAGAGCAGTAATTCTCATGTATTCACTGGGCCAGTTCTACATGGTGAATCTGGGAGCTGATCCTGCAGTGAAAGTTACAATCACAATTCTTTGGCCTTCCAACGGATTCTGTGAGCTACCTAATACCCTTTCAACAGTTCTTTTTTGGCTTAAATCAACAAGAATCTGTTTCTGTTGCTTGCAGTAAGGAAACTTGCCTGATAATGATGAGAAGGACCCACAGGTACCAGCAGCCTATGTGGATGAGGATAGAAAGGATAGTAAGAGAGAGAACTGTGATATGATGTGAAAGTCCTTAAGCTCTGGAGTCAAGAGATTTACACCCATCCCTTAGCCCCTGTTGAGGTCATGGTTTACTAGGGAAAGGATTTAATATAGGACACATTTGTAAGATTATTTTATAATATTGACCCAAAGAGTCAAATACAAAGACTGTGGGATATCTGTCCACACACTAGACCCAAAAAATCCAGCTGAAGGCCTGAATCCCATGGCAATGTCAATCATGAGTCCAGCTAAAGACCTAGAGCCCATGGCAATGCTCTTCATGAGTCCAGCTGGAGGCCTAGAGCCCACAACAATGTCTCCTGCAAGTCTGTATCAAGGATCTATACTGGGAAGGCCCAAAGGTCAGTGGTAGAAGTTAGAAAGTCTGTGAAGGATCCATCCCAGCAGCAAAAGAGATCTGCTCTGGAGCCAGGAAACAACATTGAAGATAAGGACCAGAGCTCTCCAAAGAGAACTGCAGCCATCCTCAGCGACAGTGAGGTCCCAAGTTTCTCTGATGATAGTAGTCGAGTTCATATCAGGAAAGCCAGCATAATAAACTTCTCCAGGTGAATCAACAGTGTACCATCTTCCCCCCAGTTCTCTTTTTACACTGTTGGCAACAATCTTCAGGTGGGCCATCCACACAGCACCATACTGATTCAGTTTAGCGGGGTGTTCCAAGTTGACCATTAATTAATCCACTGCAGCCCTTCACGTATCTTAGTCAGCTCAGGCTGCTATAACAAAGACCACAGTAGCTTAAGCAACAAATATTTATTTCTCATAATTCTGGAAGACGAAAGGGCTGAAAATAAGTTGCTAGCAGATTCGGTGCTTGGTGAGGATCTTCTTCCTGGTTTGTTGATGGCCACTTTCTTACAGTAACCTCTAAAGTGGAGTAAATGAGCTCTTATCTCTTCCTTACAAGGCATCAATCCTATCGTAATAACTCCACCAACATGATGTCATTTAATCCTAATCACCTCAAAAGACCTCACCTTTGAATACTGTTGCCTTTGCAGCTGGGGCTTAGCACATGAATTTTGGGAGGGAGACACAAGTCCACAGCAACCTATTAGCTGACTGACCTTGAACAAGTCAATCATCTTTCTGAGTGGCAATTATCTCACCTATAAAATGTGGGTAACAAAATAGGGATTCATTCATAGGGCTGTTGTGAAGATCAAATGAGATAATGGGCATGAAAATGCTTTGTACCCCACAAATGAGTTCCACAAACATTTGCAATTTATTTTAACAGTGTTAAACACAAAGTATGGCATATATACAGAAGAAGTGCTCTTTGGAAGAAGAGGCAAGGATGACCCTGTAATGACCAAAGCTGCACACCACTGCATTTTATGTCCAGTGCCTGCATCTTGCCATCCTTGTCACCATGCCCAAGAGAAAGGCTGAAAGGGATTATTATGGCTCATATCTAGATGGCCTCCAAAGCTTCACATGGTCATAGGTGGGGTTCTCTGGAGGTGGCCGAATCTAGGGTGTATGATGGGTTGCCCTACTCTGGGTATGAGTGCTACCCATCTTAAGGGCAAGTAGCCTGGATAGAATATAAGAGAGAGAAAGAAGGCTTCTATGGTTGCTTGTTGCTTGCTGCTTTCTACTTCACTCTTGGCTGCCTTCTGCCTACCCTACTTTGCCATGGACTGTTTCTCCTCTGTGATGCCCTTCTGTCATGCCACCCTGCCTTGGAATCAGTTGACTATGGACTGAAACCTTTACAAACTGTAAGCCAAAATACACCTTTCTTCTTTTAACGTTGTGTGTTGGGTATTATGTCTCAACAAGAAGAAAAGTAACTACAATAGATTTTGGTACCAGGAGGGGGGTCACTGCTGTGACATTACCTGGCTGTGTGGTTCAGAAGCCTTTAGAACTGGCTTGTGGAAAGAGTTTGGAAAGGTTTGGAGATGCCAGCTGAAGAAGCACCCTGAAATACTTTAAGCTGTACTTGATGAGAGATTCTGGTCAGAATTCAAAAGACCAAATGCAGCCAGTAAAGACCAGGCTCAAGAGGTTTTAGTTAGGAACAAATTGAAATAAACCTTTCCTCTTTTAACTTTGGATTTTGAGAATTTTGTCTCAGCAAGGGGAAAAGTAATGAAGACAGCAATGCTAAAGGGGAGAAAGCCAAGGAGAAGGATGAACCACAGAGAAGATCTGGAAGATTTTTGCTAAACCTACTCCTCTAAAGCCAGATTCCCAAGCCTAAAAAGCCCCTGCAAAGAAGGGAGAGAAGGTACCCAAAAGGATAAAGGGAAAAGCTGATGCCAGCAAGGATGGGAATAACCCTGCAGAAACTGGAAATGCCAAAACACACCAGGCACAAAAAGCTGAAGATGCTGGAGATGCCAAGAGAAATATGTGCATTTTTGATAACTATGTACTTCTGGTGACTGTACAGTTTGAAAAACCATTTTTATGTAGTTTTATAAAAATCTAGGATTTTGTTTTACTTTTTAAAACTATGTTGTTAGCACACAGAATGCATCATTGTTCCTTAGGGAAAGAGCATATGTCATAATACAATGTCTCCAAGCTGAGTTAATGTGAGGGAAACACCCTTTCCTGCTAGTTTTGAGAGACTTCCTCTTGGCTCCCAGGAGGAGAGATTCCCTACTGTTGACACATATGGCCACCTTTGCACAAATGCCTTGTGGTATGGGAAAACTCATTTTTATGTTCTCCTTTCCTCTGCTGTCAGCATAGACTTAACTCCTTGAAGCCCAGAGACCTATTGGAACCTGACTCCCAAAACTTGGTGTGACCATATGTCAGGCAATTTGGGACTTGCCAGTGACATTGAGATGGTGTCCCACTAGAACAATGATTTCCTTTTCTAGATTGTGGATCCTCATATTGATAGTTCTGACATTTTCATTTAATTTCCTAAAAATCAGGATCAGCTTGTGAAAAGTTGTTAAACAACATGCTAAATGTGAAATGTCAACCCTCACCCTAAACTTTCCCTATTCAGAGCATCAGATGAAGATTTTATTGGATTTTATAGTGGCTTTCTAATTCTTGGTAGTCCATCCACGAAGCAGTTAGAAAGTTGTTGTATACTGTTAATAATTGTGTGCCCATGTCCTGCCTAAAATACGATGATTGTTTATGAAAAGTATCTTTAATAAATCTGGATACAGAATTTTC